ATCGTATGCTGCATCACCTATAGGATCTGGGTTATGCAAATAATCATCTGGTTCCTTCTCATCTATATGTAAAGGAAATGACGATGCAGGGTAACCTCCAAACGGACTGAAGTCAGTTCCAAGCAAAAATGGGTTAGTGGATTTATTAGATATCGAAGAATCGTCTTCCGATTTACGCAAATTCTGGTCATCTTGCTGAAGGTTGTTGGTGCTATTGTACATGTGCGACGAAAGAGATGTTGATGATACCACTCTTGAACCTACCATAGATGGATATCTGTCATATTCCGGAGGTATCAGAGAAGGCTGAAAAGATGAATTTCCAGTATTGCCGATGTTAGGAGATGCTTCTTTTGAAAGCAAGTTCGACGTCGTACCGTTCTGTGTGTAATAGCCGTTATAACTATCAAACGTTCCTCCATAATTAGGATCGTTCAACTGGTTACTCAGTTGGTTAAAATCATTCAGCTGGCTTGAAGATGATGCAGGACTCAGATCAAACGAACTTTCGTCATCATTAGGTGAAACAAAAGGGTTTTCCACACCTTCTTCCGTAAGGTTAGCTTCGCTGGGTGTATTATATGTCAAATCTCTATGGACCATGATTTTTTCGGACGATATATTTAATCTAGCGAATGATGAATTTTATTAGCTCTGCAAACACGAAAAACCAGAGCCTTAATAGTCCGACTTCCTTAGAATGGTCTAAATTAAGTATGGGATCAAAAAAGTTCTTTTTATTTAAAATCAACGGAAACATAAGTGGTTTTAATTCAGAGAAGCAAAGACATCCGTTGGTGTAAGGATGTATATTCTATTTTTTTCCAATTTTTGCGTGTTTATTATGGGTGTCAAGGTGTATATGCAAGGAAGGTATGTTATTTCAACACGTTAAAGTCAAATATGCACGTCTGCGATTTTGACATGGCTGTGTTTTTTGAAAAATCCTTGTGCCATAAGGTGCACGGGATAAAGATAGCTTTCCAAGGCATTTTTGTCATATCAAACACCAGTGATTCTAGATTTGCATCTTGCCATAGACTAAGTGATCTATAAATATATTGTGAAGACCAATATAGCGTAAGTAGTTGGCGTGATAGAAGAGACTTGATGAAAATATCTAGCCAAATGGACTTGTCATATGATTGACATTATTGATTACAATAAGCAACAACCCAGATGCAGAATACCGTGTCAATAAGGCTAAGTTCTAATACATCTTGCGATGTATCCGGCTTAAAGACAATAATGTGTATTTACCATACAAGCGCAGCAAAAGTACATGATTCGCGATAGTTTTGAATCAAACAATAAATGCCGTTGAAAAATGGTCTAGCTTGACCTGCAATCTTACGGCCAAGCCAGGCGTGTATGAACCGGTAACAAACTGCCTTGCAATAGACTATTGTATTATCGTAACACGACTGTCGTAAGGTATTCTAGCTGTAACTGGACCTATGCTGCTTGGCAAAAACACTTCTATTATTAGACAATTAGAGTTCATCAAAATACTAACAAACTATTACTATTAATATGATCTGCTTACCGAGACCATGCGTGGCGATTAGAATTCAATGTTTCTTGTGCATTTTATTATGCTAAATTTAAGTCTTATTGAAATATTGCAATATCTCCCGACAGTTTACAAAGAAACAAGTTAAACATAGAAACCATCATTGCCATATTTTTAACAGGCATCGCAAACAACAGTTTCCAATACACAGGCTATTTTTTTCAATGTTTGATTTGATCACGTGTGTGTTCCATACTACATACTCTATTCCTTTCTGGTCGTTTTTATCTATGTGAATGTCTCTTAAGCGAGTTAGGGTTGCAATGATTAGATTCTAGTCCACAATACTAGTCCGCATGACCAATTATTAAGATGTCAAGTTGTGACATTATAAAGTTCAATGCGATCTCTATTCTATTTTGTGTACCTCTATATAAAATGGAAAGCATTTGAAGGTGTCAAGCCTTAAGCTTGTCATATTTAGCTACATTGATTGATGAGTGAATTTTTAGGCCAGTCATAACCAGTTTCTGACCACGATGTGCGATTATTATTTTGGTATGCGTTTGGATGTGCTACAATATAATCGTAGGTTGGGTAGTCTTCTGGGTCACAGGTTAGGTTTATGGCATATTCTGGCTGGTATAGACGAACATAATCAACACGCATTGTTAATGGGAAATTGAAGCCGTTCCAATCGATGTATGCCCAACTGTTGGAAATACCGAAGTTCATCACCATCGACATGGGTTCTTTTGAGATCATTCTACTTCCAATATTTCCATTTGGTCCTAAAGAGTTGGCGTGAACAGTAATAGTAGGATCCATACCAACATACCATGTTACATAGCCATCAATTTCATCATTCAAATATTCGTATCCATATGACTGAAAATTTTGACCTATACCTTCCGAGTACCATGAAACATTCAAAACAGTAGTACCAGAAACAGCCTGCTGTATTGGACCTCCGGTATATGTGTTCATAGTAGTTAGGGAGTCATTGAAGATAGAAATAAAGTTGTAATCAGGCATATACCAAATATCCATAGGAGCAATTTGCATAGATTGAGATGCTATCGGCTTCCCTTTATCATCAACTTCAGCCTCAATAACGTCATACTCAGGTGCACCTCTTCCTGTACCAGGATTAGGATGATCCTCACCAGAGCAGGTACATTTGTTCAACCTTTGACCTGGCAAGTACGAAATTCCATCAGGAGACGATTGATTGGCAGTGATGCCAGCATCACACGATTCATATGTATATGGCCAGACACCTTCACTCGACGCCATGTACCCTGGACGAGCCAAATTACCCATAGTCCATAATCCTGGCCATAATCCTGATACATTACCATAACCTGGTAGCCTAGCCGAGAACTCAAGCAACCCTTGAGTGAAACACAATTTATTCCAACTTTGAACCATACCAGATCTGTAAAACAAATCGTGGTTCTTGTATGCATCCATTCTCAAGTTCAAAGTACCGTTAGCAGTCGTCACAGCATCTGGATCGTAGTATTCCAAATCCTGAGTACCTCCGTACCAAAGATCTGCTGCTTGGAAGAACTGATCATCACCATCATAGAAAGTTCTGCCTTCTGCGTTAAATTCGTCAGAGAAGACTAACTTCCACGTCTCACCTTTGGAAGTCTTTTTAGTTAATACTTCTGCTGGTGTGTCTGGATCGACCAAATCAGTTCTTATAGCACTCAACAAAGGATAACGGTACGAGGTTAAAATCTCGTAACTTTCTGGAACGTACGGACTAGTAACACCAGAATACGTTAACACAGG